AGAAGGCAACTGGACTTTCTTGCTTTTTTTTCTTTTGAAGATGTTTCGCTTCCCCCCAAGAAGCTTCTTCAGCTCTGACTGGATGGTGGGGACCATTTGCACATCAGTTTGAGATGTAGACAACATAGACTTGTCCCCAACAGCCTCCGCCTGTCTTCAACAGTGAAAGGACACAGGGCAGAAAACATCCTGCCACTACTTGGCACCACTCAGGTGGCCCCGAGGACACAGATAAACCTCCAAGTGGCCTCAACAACTCTCTAAAAGGATGCAAATGACCAGCTGTTTGCAAGGAGTATAAATTCTGTTCTCCACCATCCAGTCAGAGTTGAAAAAGCTTCTTGGATGATGAGAAGCAAACAATGTTTAAAAGGAAAAAAAACCAAGAAAGTCCAGTTGCCTCCTGAAAAACCACCTTTGGGACAACCGTTACCTGGATGACGGAGAATCTCTACAGACATTTAGCTATACAATTTGGGATGAAGACCCTTTGAGTGGTGTGGGAGTAGGAATGGATTTCCAGAGGGGAAAAATTGCAGGAACCATTTGCACCACTCAGGTGACTCTGAGGACACTTAGAAACCTCCAAGTGCTTCAATGACCCTCTGAAAGGATGCAAATGACCAGCTGTCTGCAAGGAGTATAAATCCTTCCATTCCCCAACATTCTGTCAGAGCTGAAGAAGCTTCTTGGATGAGAAGCGAAACATCTTCAAAAGAAAAAACAAAGTCCATTTGCCTCTTGAAAAAAATCACCTTTGGGACAAGAAATTATGGGCTGTCCGTTCTCACTGTCCATCTACTCCACCTTCAGAGACTCTGGCTCTAGGCAGAAAGTTTGGGTGGGATTCAAGGGATGGATGGAAGCTACAACTCCAGTCATTACTTTCCTGCTTCAATTGATTCAGCCATTATTGCTCTCACCGTGTTCACTTATGTCTCATTACGCTTATGGCTTCTCCTTGAAGCTTCCAGTCCTGCCTGTTTAATTAGAACCACATTCTCCCTTCCCTCCTAACATCCCTCCCCCTCCCCTCCCCTCCCAAAATTAATTTGGTTGCAGATCACAGCTCCCTTAAATTTTCTACCGTTTTCAATTAAGGCTGGTATGCTGGGAATTATTCCCAAAGGTGGGCTACTGCAGATGTGATCCATCTCAGTTTAATGACATGCTAATTTCTATAGGCAGGAACAGTATTTTCAATCTGTGTTACTTTGCAGTGAGAGTTAGCTGGTCTAAAATTGGCTCTTGGCTTCCATCTGGTTGCCAGTTTGAGGGCCTCCTCCTTTTGGTGTGTTCCTTTACACACCCCTGCAAGTTTACACACACACACACACACAACCTACCAAAGGCCCATAAGTCCATAGACTGTCTACCAATAAGTAATAGCCTGCTTGTAACTGCTGCAGCATAAGACAGGATGTATCTTGTATGCTAACCAGGTGGTCCTTCGGTGTCCTCTTGTGGGAGATCTTCACCCTGGGGGGCTCTCCATACCCAGGAGTGCCAGTGGAGGAGCTGTTCAAACTGCTGAAAGAGGGGCATCGGATGGACAAACCCAGCAATTGCACCAATGAACTGTGAGTGCCCAGTTGGGTGGGTGGTTTTATCTATTGGGGATGATGATGATGATGATGATAGCAATAGCACTTAAAGTTATATACTACTTTATGGTGCTTTATAGCCCTTTCTAAGCGGTTTACTGAGTCAGTCTCTTGCCCCCAACAATCTGGGTCCTTATTTTACCCACTTCGCAAGGATGGAAGGCTGAATCAACCTTGAACCTGGTGAGATTTGAACTGCCAAATTGCAGGTAGCCGGCAGCCAGCAGAAGTAGCCTGCATGCAGTACTGCACTCTAACCACTGCGCCACCGTGGCTCATGATGATGGTGTCCTTTCAGTCCTGTACAACTCTTGGTGGGTTCTATGGGCCAGCTCTCTCCTCATTTTCCAATCTTGCATTACTTCTCTGAGTTTTTTTACTGTGGTTAAAAATGCTGAGCTTATCAGCTGGAAAGCTGACAGACCAGATTCGAGACCTGAGCACTGCATGAGGGGATGAGCTCCTGTTTCTTGCTCCAGCTCCTGCCCACCTAGCAGTTTGAAAGCATGCAAATGCAAGTAGATAAATAGGTACCATTTCATTGGAAAGGCAACAGCAGCTAGGCGCCTCAGCATATAGTCATGCTGCCCATCTTTGAACAACAGAAATGAGCACCACCCCCTAGAATTGGGCACAACTGGGCAGGGGAAACCTTTACCTTTATTTAGTGTATGGCGATGTTACATTACATACAGGAGACTGTAGTATGAGTACAAAGTAGCAACAGAAATAGCACTTAGACTTGTATACCACTTCATGGTCCTTTACAGCCCTCTCTAAGTGGTTTACAGAGTCAGCCTCTTGCCCCCAACTATCTGGGTCCTCATTTTACCCACCTCGGAAGGATGGAAGGCTGAGTCAACCTTGAGCCTGGTGAGATTCAAACTGCCAAACTGCAGGCAGCCGGCAGAAGTAGCCTGCAGTACTGCAGTCTTAACCACTGCGCCACCATGGCTCTTAGTTGTTTGCTTTCTGATCGTTGCTAGTCCATTCAGTTCACGCTCATGTAGCACAGGGTCTAGAAGGTTCAACAGTATTCTGCAGTGTCATCCAGGGCTTTCTTCCTTCACTGATGCTGCTTCACACTCAGGCATCGCAGTGGGAGAGGAAGGTCCAGCACAACCATACAAAACACCATTATTTTCCCACCGAAATGGTACCTATTTATCTACTTGCACATAGCATGTTTTCAAACTTATAGATTGGCGGGAGCTGAGGCAAGTTACGAGAGTTCATTCTGCCATGTGATACCGGGGCTCGAACTACCATAGTACAGACCTCCTCCAGTGTCTTTAAGATACTGAGCCACCTCACCTCTAGTTAAGTGGGTGGCGGGTTAGGATGGCAAGCTGCATGCCCAGCTTGTATAGACACTCACCCGCCCTGGCATTTGGCAGAAGAGTGTTTGCAGCTCCACAAACTATTCTCGGCTTCTTCTAAAGTTCCATGAACCTGAAAAGACCAAAAAAAAAGACTTTTTTTTAATGTTTATGAAAATGAAAATCAACTTTTCACTGCTCCTTGGCTCAGAGGTCTCTTTTTATTGCTTCAATGAATGGAAACTAATCAAAGGGAGAACCAGCCCAGGAAATAAGGTTGGTTCTCTCCTTGATTAGGAGAGGGAGAACTAAGGAGAAATTTCCTGACTGAGAGAACAATTAATCTGTGGAATGGCTTGCTCTGGAAATCGTGGGTGTTCTAACATTGGAGGTTTTTAAGAAGAGATTGGATATCCCTTTGTCTGAAGAGGTATAGGGTTTCCTGCCGGAGCAGGGGGTTGGACTAGAAGACCTCCAAGGTACCTTCCAACTCTGTTATTCTATTCTGCTTCATCTTCCCACTGGAAGGAGACTCAGACCAGGATGGGGGTCATTTGCCAATGGGAAATGAAGGGAGCTTTGGCCAACACCTTCTTGGCAGACAGTTTTGTGAATTCTGAGGTCAGCCTGTTGTGAACACGAGTTCCTTTGAGATGCTGCCAAGTTTGAGAAAAGCCTCATCAAATTCAACAGACCAGGCATAACATTTCAGGATACCTGCTGACTGGCTGAGATGGGGGATGATGGTTCATGGTCAGACGGGCATTTGGTGCTATTTTCCCAACGCCTCTGAAAGACTGGTGTAATTCTACATGGAGCCTGCATTTCTATTTTTCTCAGCAGAAAGAGGGCAGAGAAGAGCAACCAAGATGATTAGGGGACTGGAGGCTAAAACATATGAAGAACAGGTTGCAGGATCTGGTCATGGCTAGTCTAGGGAAGAATAGAATAACAGAGTTGGAAGGGACCTTGGAGGTCTTCTAGTCCAACCCCCTGCCTACGCAGGAAACCCTACACCACTTCAGACAAATGGTTATCCAACAGCTTCTTAAAAACGTCCAGTGTTGGAGCATCCACAACATCTGGTGGCAGGCTGTTCCATTGATTAACTGTTCTAACTGTCAGGAAATCTCTCCTTAGTTCTAAGTTGCTTCTCTCCTTGATTAATTTCCACCCATTGCTCCTTGCCCTACCCTCATGTGGTTTAGTTTAACTTACATTGGGATGTTTTTAATGTGAGATGTTAGGTCATATGATGGTGCCCAAGTTTGAAAAAAAATTGCCAACTCCTGGTTTTCTCTGGTGGGTCTAGGACAATTCGCCATGGGAAAATTCCATGCAGGATAACACAACATGATAAATGTTGTTCCATTTTTGTCAATGGAAATAATGAAGAAACAGTGGCGGATAACTTTTATTGTGTTAAGTTATTCTATGTGGAATTGTCCCACGGTGACTTGGCCATGATGAGCTGTCTCATGGCGTGTTGACTATGGCAAAAATAGCCTCAGCAAGTTGGCTGCAGTGAGATGGCCATGGTGAGATCTCCCCTTCTGCTCTGGTTTTAACAGCTTAGATGCAGGCACATTCATTGTTCTCTCTTCCCAGGTACATGATGATGCGGGATTGCTGGCACGCTGTTCCATCCCAACGGCCGACTTTTAAGCAGCTGGTCGAAGACTTAGATAGGATCGTGGCCATGACCTCAAACCAGGTAAAAGCCCCCCACCCACCCACCCAAGTCCATTTTGCTCTAATTAGACTGCTGGTCTAAGTCTTTGCTGCTTTCCTATGGAGACGGATGGTTAGATAGGCAAATAGGGCAGTGGAAAAGCACAAGCAGGAGGGGCAAATTATCTGAGATGTTAGGAAGGTGGCTCTATTTTTAAAATTAAGGTATATGACCATTATAAGGGACAAATTATATGTTTTGAATATTTTTGTTCTCACCTAGGCTTCCTGAGAAAGCATAAAGATTTCAAAAAACTGATAGAAAATAAGTCCAGGTGCCATAACTCAACTTCCATATAATGCTACCTGGATGACAGAATAATCATTGGCATATAGTATCGACCCGGTGGCTCAGTGGCTAAGACACTGAGCTTGTCAATCAGAAAGGTCGGCAGTTCGGCTGTTCGAATCCCTAGTGCCATGTAACGGAGTGAGCTCCCATTACTTGCCCCAGCTTCTGCTAACCTAGCAGTTCGAAAGCACGTAAAAAATGCAAGTAGAAAAATAGGAACCACCTTTGGTGGGAAGGTAAAAGCATTCTGTGTGCCTTCGGTGTTTAGTCATGCCGGCCACATAACAACAGAGACATCTTGGGACAGTGCTGGCTCTTTGGCTTTGAAACGGACATGAGCACCACCCCCTAGAGTCGGGAATGACTAGCACATATGTGCGAAGGGAACCTTTACCTTTATGAAGTTATATTTTAGCGCTTCCTTTTTATATACATAGGTTGTAGCTTACATACCTGTAACCTTTGCCTTTACCTTTAATAGTACTGATGATGTTACCTAGATTGATAATGAAAAGTCTGCAAGAAAACCCAAACTTAGAGAGCATCAAGGCCCTACAGTTGAACCCTGAGCTACAAATTCCCTCTTCCATGGTCGACTTTTGTACCTTCTTCAAGAGAAATGACACCAGCTTCATTTTATTTAGGAAGTCATAGAAACTTACCTCCTGCAAACTCAGTTTTAGTGACCAATTCCCCATTTCTCCATTTTCACCTGAGTTCGTCTCCAAGACCCTTCCGCCAACATGAGAAGAGCATTAGTCAGGGGTGGGATTCAGCCGGTTCAGACCAGTTCGGGTGAACCGGATGTTAATTTTACATCTGATTCGCCGAACCGGTAGTTACAAGGACTGGCTGGCCCCACCCACCCTGCCCCTCCCAGGAGTCTCCATGTGGGCTGTTTTGGATGCCAGATAATTGCAGGGCCTGCACGGAGGCTCTGGGAGGGTGAAAAATGGGCCTCCTGGAAGTTCCGGAAGTCCAGAAATGGGCTTGTTTCCAGCCTCTGGAGCCCCAGGGTGGAGGCTGTTTTCACCTGCCCAGAAACTAGAGAAAAGCCTCCAGAGCCTGGGGAGGGCGAAGAACAGGCCTCCCAGAAGTCCAGAAACGGTACTGTTTCTGGCTATCAGAGGGCCTCCGGCAGGGCGAAAACATCCCTACCAAAGGCTCAAGGAAAGCCTCTGGAGCCTGGGAAGGGTGAAAACACACACACACACACACACACACACACACACACACACTGCCAGTGGTGCAGGAGGCCGAGTAGACCATGCCCACTGGGCAGAGAACCAGTTGCTAACATCTTCCAATCCCACCCCTGGCATTAGACATTGTTCTCACAATCATTCTCTTCTCGTTCTCTTTAGGAATACCTGGACCTCTCTCTACCATTGGATCAGTATTCTCTCAGTTTTCCAGACACTCGCAGTTCCACCTGCTCTTCTGGGGAGGACTCCGTTTTTTCCCACGATCCCCTCCCTGACGAACCTTGTCTTCCCAAGCATCCACCTCACCTTGCCAACGGCGGACTCAAAAGGCGCTGATGCCGCAACATCTGCGGGACCCTTCTGTGCATGCGAGTGTGGAGCGTGTGTGTCCATGAGTGAATGGGTGTACGTCTGTGTGCACAGTCTCTGTCCAGCTGGGCTGGAAGGAGGACCACCGGAGGGCATTGAGGAACTGCGAAAAAGTCCATTCCAAGCAACCAAGCCTACTCATCCTCATCTCCTTCGCTACACTGCCATCTGTTGCAAGCCTTAAGCCTTCTGAAGAGCTGCTCATACGAATCTTGTAATCTTGGGTGGGAAGCGGTGTCTAAACAACAACGAAAAGGAAGATCCAGACGTCTGTTTCCTAGACAGAAGCATGCTGTTACTTCTCAGAAGGAGATTCTGGAGTAGGGGGTGAAAAACATTCCCATGAAGATGAAAGTCCTTTCTTTTTC